TAAGTGAGAAATAAGCCCAGTATAAAATCATTTCCTTCTCCAAAAATGATAACTAGAATTCAAATAAAATTTCTTCTACTCCTTTAGAACTATAATTAAAGTCTAATTACAAAAAAAAAATCAGTATTGTACTACACTAATTCAAGATAATCATTGGGAACCCAATTCAATTCCCAAATCATGAACATTAGAAAGTGTGCAAACAGAACCACAAAATGCTTCAAGGATACCTTTCAGACTGTGAAATGGAATGTAATTAAGGGAATAATGAGCACTTCCATGGAACAAACTTGTCCATTGTTGGTCTGTTGGCTATTTGCTCTAGATTTAAATGCAGGCCTTTACAGAAAAATTTTTGCTTCTAATTTACCAAGATTTTATTTACAAGACAGTTGTTTGTGACATGGTCCTATTTATGTACTAGTGGCCCGGTACACGAAATTCATGCACAGGAGGGGGGGGTGGCTTCCTCAGCCCAGCCTGCACCCTCTCCAATTGGGGACCTCTTGGGGGATGTCCAACTGCTGGCCCACAGGGATCAGGTCTAAACCAGCAGTCAGACATCCCTCTTGCAATCTGAGACCACTGGCTCCTAACCGCTCACCTGCCTGCCTGCCTTATCACCCCTAACTGCCTCTTCCTGCCTGCCTGATCACCCCTACCTGCCCTCCCCTGCCAGCCTGATCTTGCCCCCATCTGCCCTCCCCTGCAGGCCTGGTTGCCCCCAACTGCCCTCCCCTGCCAGCCTGATCACCCCTAACTGCCTCTGCCTCGGCCCCCACCACCATGGCTTTGTCTGGAAGGAAGTCGGATGTCCAGAAGATGGCTGGTTGACCTGGTCTAATTAGCATATTACCCTTTTATTAGTATAGATAGATTATATAGGATAGGACTGCTTAAATGGGGGGGAAAGCCTTTTCCAGCAGGAGGAGATGCTCTTGGCAGACAAAAATACATAATCCCTATATCTGGACTGATAGCCAGCCATATGCACTATACTGCCAAACAGGTTATTAAAAAATTGAACCGCTTTCTTACACCTTACACCAAACAGCTGTTGCCCTTAAAACCCCTCCTCAGCCCCCAATTTAGGTTCTGCCTTCGCAGTTCACCCAGATTTGGTTCTGATTGGTCGGTTTCTATGCCAGTGAGCATTAGAAGCTCCGCCTCCTAGACAGCCATTGGCTCCTCACAGTTCACCCAGATTTGGTTCTGATTGGTCAGTTTCTATGCTAGTCAGCATCTCCGGGACTATCTCCAGGCCTGATCCGCAGCCTCCTTTGCAGTCGGTGCTGGGTCGCCACAGCAACCCCGCACTGATTGCAGGGCTGACTTCTGGTCGGTCAAGCCTTTGGTTGTTTTGGACATTATGGACCCTGGGTTTTTATATATTAGGATTATTTGGGGGAGGAGGGAGCAGATATATGATAATTTGAACTTCAACCCCAGTTTCTTTTCTGAAACAAACATCCAGTCGGTCATATTTGTCTTTATGTCATATAGTTTAGGCAGTATTCTCAAACTTTTAGTCCCAGAGCCTGTTTATCAGAAATTATTGAAGACCTCAGAGAGCTTTTGCTTATGTAGGCTGATGTTTACTCCATTAGAGCTTAAAACTGAGAAAATTTTAAAATATTTATTCACTTGAAAATAATACATTTATTACATGTTAAAAAATATATTTTTATAAAATTAACTACATTTTAAAAACAAAGAGTTTAGAAAAACCATGACATTATTTTATACTTTTTGGGAATCGAATTGATGTATGCCTCAGTAGAAGATAGTTGCATTTTCTGTTTCTATACTTAATTGGCTGCTATATTACACACCATGTGCCTTCTAGAAAACTCCACTGTACACTCACGAGAGAATATGACAGAACACAAATAACATGCTTATGTTATTATGAAAATAGTTTTGACCTCAAGGAGCACCTAAAAGGTCCCCAGACTATACTTTGAGAATTGTTGCTTTAAGGATATTAGTTGGCAGAAAATAGGAAGAAATTTTCAGTTTACTGCAAAGATTTTTTTATGGAGAATTAAAACATTTTTACGACTATATCTATTAAATCTGTTGAAATATACAAAAATTTCCATTTAGTCTGTTGCATATAAAACTATTATAATTAGGAGAACTACATTAACTAATCTTCCTTTTAAACCTGGTTTGGTTAACTGAATACTCCTACCTCCACACTCTGACTTCTTAACTGAGATTTCAGACATGTGTATCCCTTGTCCTTGAATTGACATCTCCAATGGGATGCCTAATAGCCATCTGACTTCAGATTGTCAGAACAGAACTCTAGATTTACTTCCATAAACATGAACGGCTCTCACTTTTGTCCCTCAGAAAATGGCACCACCATTCACACAACTATTTAAATGAAAAACTTAAAAGTCATTCCCAACTTCTCTTTTTTGAGCTGCATGTGACATCTCCTATATGAGCTGCCAAAATAGACCTCTTTCCTTTGGATCCCACGCTGCCATCCTAGCCCTAGTATCCCCATTTCCCCACAATGTTATATTTTTTCCAACTTCTGATAAATAGTGTAATTAATTTATCTACTTATAAAACATAAATCAGATCCTATCCCATCTCACCCTAAATTCTTACAATTCTATATAAATTTCTTGGAATGAAAATTAACTACTTACAGAGTCCTACATGTGGCGTGGGCTCTACCAACCTCTCCATCCTTAACTCACACCATTGCCTTCTTTCTGTCCCTTTAACTTTCCCCACCATCTAGCTCAGGGGTCCTCAAACTACGGCCCGCGGGCCACATGCAAATACAAATATTGTATTTGTTCCCGTTTTGTTTTTTTACTTCAAAGTAAGATATGTGCAGTGTGCATAGGAATTTGTTCATAGTTTTTTTTTTAAACTATAGTCCGGCCCTCCAACGGTCTGAGGGACAGTGAACTGGCCCCCTGTTTAAAAAGTTTGAGGACCCCTGATCTAGCTTCTCTACTTGCTGTTGTCCTCATCTGGAAACCACCATCCAAGCTTCTGTGTGCCTGGCTTCTTCCTGTCATTTAGGTCTCAACTCAAATGCTACCCTCTCAGGGGAGCCTTCTCTGACCCGGTCAGTCATTGCTAGACCCACCTTTATGATTCTCTTACATCACCGAGTTTCACCTAATTTATTGGTAAATATTTCACTATATGAGGGTATTTGGCTTATCTCCATGCATGTTCTTTGTCCTGTTCCCCTACAACCATCACGAGAATTTAAACTCTAGAAAAGCAGGGACTGTATGTGACTTGTTCACAGTTGTATTTTCAGTGTCAACCCAGATATAGTCAGAATTGAATTATAGGAATAAATAAATAAGCAAATGAATTAATAGGTGAATCATAATCAAGACACTGTATTGCAAAAATAACTTAATTAAATGCTGTCTTTGCTATTCTCAATTACCAAGGAAAATACAAAGAATTTCATATATTCATGGACTACAGCTGTCTGCTTTATCTTTAATGCCTTTCTACTTTTGTACTAACTCACCATATGGAGGGGGAAAAAGCATGGTAATTCAGCAACATCTTGTATATATGTAACCTAATTTTCAAAACACACAAAAATTTGCTGAACATTTTTCTTATTTCGTGTCTTTGATCTTTAGAATTAATGTAATAAATAAAAATTTAAATATATATGACTAAATGAAAAGATTTTAAAGACTTTCCAAACAAGTCATCTTAATTTTTTAAGAGAACAATAAGCAAAATGGTACCAAAAAAGAAAAAGAACACCTATAAACTAAGTCAGTTTCTTTGCAGACTAATTTTTAATTCACTTAAGAGCCTTATCATTGATGTTTATTATTGTTGTTATTAATCTCTTTCTTATAAATTTCAATTTACCCAGAAGTAGAATCCTATATATGATATTATGATCACCCCATCATCTCCTGCAATATAATCTAAACTCTAAGAATGAATAATTTTATGTAAATTCATACACATAAATATGAGCACACAGTACAAATATGTACATATGTATATTTCCAACAGGGTGTCAATAAAAATCTCTGCACTGGAAATACTGAAGCAAATTATTATAAAATCTTTAAAAAATTGTTTTAATTTGAGGGCATGTACCAACATTGAATAAACCATCAGGGACAGCATAAAAGTATATTAAGATCATTGCTGAAGGTATTAAACACTTCAAAACATTATGAAATTTAATGTAATAGTAGTATAAAATTGTGCTCTGTAAACATGATCCAAATATAAAATTTAACATTGAATTATGCTAGCCATAAAAATATTAATATATATGATAAGTATGTGTGTGAATTATGTTCTAGTCATAAAATGAATATACTGCGTTTGGTAAATATGTGTACGGCTTTCAGTGAAAGGTATTGCAACAGACAATTAAACTCTCCTAGGAACAAATGTTCTCTTTGTTCTTTTTACCAGTGGGGAATAAAAGACATTTTAAAGAAGCATGCTCAGTTTTAAAAGGAAAATTTGAAACACATTGACTATTAATTATAACTTGCATAAAGTTTTAGTTTTCCTCTGTAAATACATCATCATGTATTTGTGAAATGGGAAACCACCTTTCACAAGAGTTGTACCAACTTCAGTAGATGCTTTTTCTAATATGACTTTGCTATTGATAAGTGAACAGAGTAACTTCATTTGCTATGATATTGAAAGTATACAGAGTAACTTAACTGTTCTTATTACAGTATACAAATAGCAAACAGCAAACAAATAAAATAAATTTGGTTTTAAAAGCATTTGCTCCTATTATTCTTATGAATAACTATAAAGAAGTTTATGATACACAAAAAAGCAATTCACCTTAATAAAGTTGGGCAAATTAAGCAAGAAAAATGGTTCTAAACAAATCATTAATGTAAACATCAATAATAATTCCTTGATATTTTAATATGCTTGAAATGTGAATTCTCAGAAATTGGTCTTAAGACCATTTTAAGTCATCTATGATAATTCAGAATCTCCTTGTACTACTTACAAAGCTTTAGTACAAGAATATTTTTGTTTTCATCAGAAAGGAGTTTATAGAAGGGGCTAAGTATAAAGATCAGATTCAGACTGCATCCTTCCAAAGCTATAACAGTTAAATTCAAATAGAATATGTGCAATTACAGGCTACTTTCTGAAATGCAGATCAAGGGAGAATTCCAAAGAGACCTATTCTGATACTCACTGGTAGGAATGGGGTGGGCTGTTGCCATGGTAGACACACCATGAAGCTTCAATGTGCTGGGAAGAAGCTCCAATCTGTCCTGCCCTTTGAAAGTGTGCCAAAATGATTACTAACCATTCAAGGATATTTCATTAGAGGGATGGATATTAAAAGCATTACTCTACCCAGCCCTCCACAAAAATCTTTGAAAATCTTGTTAGAGACCTTGAAGAAATACATCTATGTGTTTTTAAAATGAACCCACAACAATTTTAAAATCCTGTTTAATGTTCAGCATGCAAATTACTCAACATATCCATGTAATAATGGCTGAAATAAATTTCACCTCATTAGCAAGAAATCAATGTGTCATTACATTATTGCCAAAATGGTACTGACCCATGTTTTATTTTCACTTTTCAGTTATGATGTTTTAATTTTCATTAAAAGTGTATCTTAAACTTTCAAATTTGGCATTTTCTAAAAATTGAAGAATAGAGAAATTGATATTTTAGCAAAATGAGTCCTCATATAAGTGAAAATGCATAACTGTTATGAAGTATAGTAAGAGAAAAAATATATACTTGTATCTTTTTAACATAATCCGTGACCTGCTTTACCAATTTCAGATTAATTTTTTGGAAAAATGATACGTTTTCAAATATCATCTCAGAAAAACAAGCATATAAAATTGTAATTATTTTAGCTTTCATGAGTCTTCAAAAGTAAGGAAATTCACACTATTCACCATCTCAATGTAGTACATTCAATTCCACCATTAATAATTTAGAAAGACAATAGAGAACTATTCATTAGTAGAACTACATGTGATAAGGCCCTATTTTACAAAATCAAACAAGGACCTAAGTAGCCAGATGAGTATTAAAAACACTACCTTTTAAAATATGTCAATATTTTAATAATGATGTTCTTGACCAATTCATCTTGCTCATTTTTCTTGAATTGTACAAGAAATACCATTACTTGATTATGGTACATATACATAAATCCTTATATATGTTAGCCAAAAAAAATATTACTCAGCTTAATCACCTACCTCTATTCATCAAATTTGTCACTAAATGACATAATTATTGCCAAATATAAAATCTACCTTCACAGAAACACATTAACAAGCATATTTAAAAACATACTTACTGCCCCCAGAGGACAATTTATAAATTTTATATGTTGGGGTGGGGTGTATTGCCCTTTCAGCTTCCTACTTGAAAAGAATAGCTCTTTTTTAGACCATAAATGTGGATATGTTCCTTGATTGATAACAGCTTACACTCTCCACCAATGTATGGTCACACATACACATACACACATATGCACAGGCATGAGAAATACTTGCCTTCTATGTCTTACAAAGACACAAAAAGCACCAAACAAGAAGAAGATAGATATATTCAACTATCTTAAAGCTATTAACTTCTGTTCATCAGAAGATATCACAAAGGAGTCAAAATATAAACTATAAATGGAAGGAGATATTTGAAATACAAGTAATTCACAAGGATTAAGCCCCAAAATGTGTAAAGTCAACCAACCAACCAACCAACCAACAGAAAAACAGGTGGAGAATACTATGGGCACTGACAGAAGAAACACAAACAGCACATAAACGTACAAAAATATGCTCAATATCATCAATAATCAGAAGGAAAATAACTGGAAATGATCCAAATATAATCAGTAGTAGAAGGATAAATAAGTTGGGACATATATACAGAACAGAATATTGAAGAGCAAAAATTTAGTAGAAAAATGTACGCAGTCTTATTGATTTTATACAATATAAAGCTCAATAACATTTAAAAGTAAACATGCACATGCCATGGAGGAGGGTGGTTGTGAAGAGAAAACCTCTGGAAGACTGGGTTCCCATAAGCTCACTTGAAGGCTATCCATTCATGGACCCGCAGACAGATCCTGGCGTTTGGAGAAGGGATGGGAGGTGTGTTATGAGTCAGCCACAGGGAATCCTCCACCTGCACAAAGTTTCCCCGTGCAGCTGCTATGCAGTCACTGCTAGAATGCCTGCTGGGTGGGGTTCTTGCCATCACATCAGGGTGCTCATTTCACTTTTTTGCAACTTATTAATTAGCAGAATGCTAACTCTAAAGTCTTCTTCCCTATAACTTGTATTTCTTCTTTGATCATTTAGATTCATGAAGAATCGTTCCCTTTTCGTGTGACAATCTCTCAGCATTTACTAGTACAAACAGCCTTTCCTCCTTGCTGGTGTTGTTCAGTGGTTGAACATTGACTTATGAACCCGGAGATCAGGGTTCCATTCCCAGTTAGGGCACATGCTGGGATCACGGGCTCCATCCCTAGTGTGGGTGTGCAGGAGGCGGCCAATCAATGATTCTCTATCATCATTGATGTTTTTATCTCTCTCTCCCTTTCCCTTCCTCTCTGAAATCAATAAAAATATATTAAAAATAAATAAATAAGTAAAACAGCCTTTCCTCCTAAAACTTCCATCTACACATGAAATAGTGTCAAAATTTTTAAAAATGTGTTATGCTCCCTATTCTGGCTCAAGCATATTAAAGTTTTTTTGAAGGGTGGCACCCCAAAATATAACATGATATCCCACATGCCCTCTAAATATATCAGTTTCCTGCCATGAACTCTATAATTGAAATATATTTTAATATTCACATCTAAAGCTTTCAGAGACTCATTATGACAAATTTTCATAAATAGATGTTTATTTTGTTTTGTTTTTATATGAACAGTACATAAGCTTGCACTTTAACATTAACGTTATAAACTTGGTCCTATAAAGGAACTGCAAAAATAACTTAAGTGCTTTGGTATTTCATCCATTCTAAAGATCTCTCTCAGATTAACATGAAAAACTCATCAGGTCAAAAGGCAACACCTAATTTGGGAGAATAAAATGACCTGTTTCTCACGTTAAATTTACTAAGAGAGCTAATTTATATGAGAATGAATTCCATCCTTTCATACTCTCAGGTAGTGTTTTAAATGCCAACTGACATGGAGAGGCTCATTGTTAATGTTCAATTTCATATAAAAATCACTCTTTGAATCCGTTTTCAGTACATCATTTAATTATATAAAGAGTGAAATGTTTCAGGGGGCAGGAGTAATACAAGTTACAGTATGAATTTGTATAAGTTTACTGTTGATGGTGCCTAGCACGATTCATGTCCAGTTGAAGAATAAATAGTGACAGACAGACACCAGCCTAAATAGGCAGACCTGGTGTCAAGAGAAAGAAGCAGATGACCAGTCTTCAGAAGGCATAAGTAAAACCTAGGAGCAGTAACAACAGAATAGTGCCCGGCTGGTGTGGCTCAGTGATTGAGCTTCAACCAGGAGGTCAAGGTTCGATTCCTGGTCGGGGCACATGCTGGGATGAGGGCTCAATCCCTAGTAGGGGATGTGCAGGAGGCAGCCAATCAATGATTCTCTATCATCATTGATGTTTCTATCTCTCCCTCTCCCTTCCTCTCAATGAAATCAATAAACACATATTTTTTGGGGGAAAAATCAGAAACATGAGGCTAGTCTCTTGAGAACTGGTGTAAATAATCACAGATCACTTTGTGTACATAAGTCCTATCAAAATAATCATTGTGTGATGAGCCGAAATAACTGTTCCTTCTTAAATTGTTTTTTTAAACCTGTGAGAAAAATAAAATCAATGCTATTGATTGCAGACAGAAAAAATAAGGCCGTCAGGTAACAGCAGAGTTCAGTCCTAAACAATGACACAGAGGTGCACCAAGATTAAGCCAAATCACAGCCATTTTTCAATAAGAAAAAGGAGCTAATAAGAGGAGAGGAATGGATGTGAGACAATCTACAGAAAGGTCAGTAAGCAATTCAATGTTTAAAGGATGCACAAAAGCCAAGAAGGTATTTATAGGAAACATCTAGATTATTTTCTTTTTGAACTATTGGCCATTCAAGTTCTATTGTTTTCTTGCAGATAATCAAACCACTTTTTTTTTTAACCTTACGGATTGAGGTTGTGCATTTTATATGAGCTTCCAAAACTGGGCTCTCCATAGCAAATATGTACCAACAGCACTTGTAATCTGTATATTTTGAAAGTTAACATTAGGTACTGGAACTCTGGAGCTGGATGGCCAAGGTTTTCACCACAACATACTAAATGTATGATCTTGGCCAATTTATATAACTTATGAGTTTTTCATCTATTAACATGTGGATAATGTAATACCTTCCTCTTAAGGTTGTTATGAGGATTAACATTTTAATCCCCATAAAGAGATTAAATAGCACCTGGAATATATAAGTACTAAATAAAAGCTATTATTAACAAGCATCTCATGAAAAAAAATTGATGATTTTATTTAAAAGTTTAACTTAAAACAGCCAATGATCACTAAAAGACACTTGCCATTTTCAGAAAATAAAATGTAATCTATCTGCATCCACAATTAAAGATCACAGAAAACACTCAAAACCAGTATCTCTAAGCAAATCCACCACGTTAATGGATATGAATAGTCATTTTTAGTAGGAAAATATTAGATTAAGTTCCCAAAGAAGATATTTTATTCACATCAACAATTCTGAATCACTAAATCAAAATTTGTTTTAGATGACAGTAGAGTGAAGTTTCTGATTTTAAAAAGGGAGGGAAAGAGTGTAAGAATATTAACAAATATTACATCAGAATTAAGGCCAATTATATCCATTCATTTAAGAAAATAAATTATATTCAAGTATTTTCTAAGACTCATTCATATATTTGAAAACATAATTAAAATGTAAACAGAGCCTTGGCTACTTAATCTACTTATACTGCTGCTTAAGGAAACTAATACCAAATAATTTTGATTAAAACTTGAAACTAAAACTTCTACTGGGCAGCAATTAAGTATCTGAAAGTCACACAGCTCATTTTACTTGAAAATACATGTTAATATATTTACACTGCCTCCAGATGAAGTTCCCCAGCCATCCTAATTAGTGAAGTCTTACCATATGAATATTCTCTTTTGTTAAAATGATGAGAAACTGTGGCATTTAGGTATGCAATAATACTTGGGATACTGCCCAGGCTACAATAAAAATCAGTTAAGGCACATGTTAAACAAGCACTTTATGAAGAACACTTCCTTTAAATGAAGAGATGCAGGAAAAATTGGACTGATTTTCCATGTGAACTCCTTGGGTGTTTTTTTTGGAATGTCTTGATAATAAGTGAGTGTGTGAAAGATCCTCTATATTCTATTCATTCATTGTTGCTATGGCGTACTCTTTATAAATATTAATGCTCACACATGAAAAAGAATTCACCTATAATAAGAACAGTGCTATCTACAATTTGAGAAGATTGAATGTGTTGATAAAAAACTAATTAAACAATGAAACATTTCCTCAATTAAAACTTACAAAAAAATAAATGACAGGGTTTGTTTTTCTTTTAATTATTCAGATATAAAGATATTAGCACAAGATCAGTCAAAGTTACAATGAACTGGCTAGAAATACAGCTTGGGGTCAGATTGGCATCAGTTTATAAGATTACTAGAGACCCAGAGCACAAAATTCGTGCACAGGTAGGGTCCCTAGGACTGGCCGGCGATCAGGTCCAATCTGTGGGGTGACCAGTGGGGCGATCAGGGGCCCCGCTCATACCGGCCTTTGCTGGCCTGGTGCCTCCCACTTGCCAGCCCTGACCCCTGCCCCCACCACCAGTCGGGGCCTGAGGGCTGAGGGCAGCTCCTGCATTGAGCATTTGCCCCCTGGTGATCAGTGTGCATCATAGCGACCTGTCATTCCACAGTTTGGTCGATTTGCCTATTAGGGTTTTATATAGATAGATGGTCACTGTAGGGACTTTAACTGAAAGGAAATGAGCACTCATTATTTCAGGATTTTTTCTTCTCACAAAAGGAAAACATGTCATTATAAATTCCAAGTTAGAAATACACATTATTAAAATCTACCTAAGCATAAAACATATTTACATAGTGCATGCCTCAGTTTTTTTAAGAGCAGTTTCTATCTTAGTGTGCCCAAGATTTAGGAAAACAAGCTATCACTCTTATTAATTAGGCAGCTAAAATGCCATCCAACCTTTATACTCTGCCTCTATCACACACACATAAGACACTGGAAACATTCCATCCTCTTTTTATGGAAGCATCATAGCAGAAAACCTAGTCACATACTGAAAGTTAAAGGCAGAGTTGAAGATACTTTGATTATCTGACCAAACATACTTCTAATAGACTTGAGCTGCCATGGAAGCTTTCTGAGCTTGCTCAGTGATCTGACGGTGTCTGGTCTTAGTGCAATAAATCACATTTCTCTCTTTCAATGATCATACTTCCCTGTCTGAAGAAATATGAAATTCTCATATTAATATCCTAAACACAAGCACTTCATACAATTAGCATCTAAGTAGTATTTCACCTCTTTTCAAACTGTTTCTCAACAAAACAAAAAAAGAGAGAGAGAGAGAATGAAAATGGTTCATGTCATCTGTGTGCAGGCTGATAAGCTGAAAAGGGAATATTTGATTTTCAAAAGAGCAGAGTGACAAACCATACCTTCCATGACATACACCAGTGACCCCACGTCTCCTTCTTTGATGATGCAACTGTCTTTGCCATACTCCACTGGGTACATACAATCCACAATCTCCTGGATCTGCGACAGCTCCAAGTTCTTCATGAAGTCATTGTCAAGGATGGCTTCCTTTATGAGATCCTTGGACCTAGGACAAGAAAGGGAAGATTTACTGACACATCTGACAAGTGCTTTCAGTCTCTGAGGGTTAGCAGAGCCGGACAGTACAGTGTTGAGCACACTACACACGCATTTTCTTGTTAGGAATCCAACCATTTTCTGAAAGACCTGAGAACACAGTAATTTCATGGCCATAGGAAAGGCACTGAGAAATTTTCCTTTAAGTGAAGTATCATCGAATGGACATGTGACAAACAAGAAAATCATACAATTCCATTTTGTTTTAGAATGTTTTTTAATAGCCACAAAGATAGTGGAAAAACCAATGGACACACATTTTAAATTGAAGTTTGCAACTTATTTTAAGAATATGAACAAAATACAACATTTTATAGAGCACTATTATTATATTTATGTATTATAAAAGAACATCAGGACGTATTGTGCCTCTCCCATTAGATTTTATGATCCATGAAGTGAGAAATAATTTTTAATTTTTTTCTCTACTCTATGCCCAGTGTCTACCTGCCATAATACTGGTTATATATGGGTACTCAATAAAAAATGGTAAGAAATGGATTCCTAATCAGCTGTTTGAAACCACTGGTAGAAATATGAGTTATTTATTCATATCTCATCCTTCTGTAAAGAATATTTATTTCTCCAAGCATCTAAATTGAGGTAACCAGAAAGATAAAACTCTACTGAACAAGACATTTCCAACACATGATTTAGACATGGGATTAAATGGGTAGCCAGTGGGGAAAATATTTTAAAATTCTATAATTGGGATTCAGTGTTTGACAGGAAAGTTTTGCAGAACTTAAAAGATGGTGATAATTTGATTCACTGGGATAATAAGCTCCAAATGACTTCCCAAGGATATAAAAAAAATCAAAGTGAATAGAATTTTAAAATATTTTGTCAGGAGATATAATCAGAATACTGTCAGAGAAGTCAAAAACTGGCTAAGGAGAAAGCAAAGACCTCAGCAAAATAGAGGAAAAGCAACACATGTGGAATTTTATATTAAATATCTCAATTTGAAAAGCATTTGACTACAGCTGTCTTTGTCGCATTTCCTTAGCAAGCGGCTTTCAGGGAAGTGACCTGCAGTAGTGAATACTGACTAAAGCATCAGACCTGCCCATCTCTGGGTGGCTTTTCATCTAGACCTCAGTCTGACTGGGCTAGCCTTCGCACATCATGTTTTTTAATGATTTGGCTTTAAGAAATGAAGGGTCGCCAGGCCTGAGTGGCTCAGTGGTTGAGCATCGACCTATGAACCAGAAGGTCACGTTTTGATTCTAGGTCAGGGCACATGTCCAGGTTGTGAGCTCGATCTCCAGTGTGGGGCATTCAGGGGGGAGCCGATCAATGATTCTCTATCATCATTGATGTTTCTATCTCTCTTTCCCTTTCCCTTTCTCTCTGAGACCAATAAAAATATATTTTAAAAAAATAAATGAAGGGGTATACATAAAAATGAAAATAACTGAAAATTCATCAATATGAAAACATTCACAGAATGGACTGCTATAATGCAATTAAAATTATGTTTATAAAGAGTATTAATGTATAGGGAATTCTTATAGTATTTTTGAAGTGAAAATACAAGATACAGAATTATCTCTAGAAGAAGAAGGTCTGTGTGTGATGAAGTGTAAAGAAAAGAGTATTTGGAGTTATTAGATGTATCCAGGACCCAATGTGAGCCTTGCCAACTCTTATACCTTGAGCAGGTTGTCTTACTTTCCTGAATTTCCATTTTAGCATTTGTAAAATGGCATTTTCAAAATTACCAAACTAACAGAATTATATGTGAGAACCAATGAAAATATAGTGTTACTTTCAGTAAATGGTGGGTGATTAAGCTGGTAGTAATATTAATAGGAAGGGTAGGAATTAAGACTTGAAACAATATCAGAAGAAAGTAAGACACTGGCATTAGGGTTCAGTTGCCTTTGGTGACAGCACTATATTTTTCTTTCTACTTTTCTCTTTTTATAAAACTTTCTAGAATGGGAATGCTTTTTATATTGAAAAATCTTTAATTTTAAAGGTAGTTTATGAAAATAATTATGCGATGAGGTAAAACAAAATGCTATTGCTCATCTAAATAATTACTTACTTAAATATAGATACTTAATACTGGTTGACTGTTATTGGTATATTCAATAATATTCTTTTTAATCAATCCTCTTCCTACAGCCTGTATGTAAATACTAGTGGGAGGAATTTTCCCCTAATAAAGAGACGGAGATGATGGCCAATGGTTAAGGACTTCAGAATAGGCTCTATTTAAAGAGTCTGCTTGTGAAACCTTGACTTTAATAGGGCTATTTAGCTGTATGCTGTTTTCTTAACCTGGCTTGCCAAAACTTTGTTTCTTCTGAGGTAAAGAGTCGATTCTCTTGAGTCTTCAACACAGGATGTAAAACTTGGTCCCTACCTATGATTTTCATGAGCTCTCCTTTCCTAAGTATCCTCACCATTCCTGACCTCGGCTACACCATGAGTACCATCATAATGACTGCTGCACTCTGTTGTTCTAAGATTATTTTTTCTAATAACCAGGACTTATTTTCAGGAAATTAATTTTAATCAAATTGATAATATTCTCTTTACCAAAAATTCCTTTATTTTGTTTGGGTCAAAGAATGAGGCCATCAATTGGCTCATATTTTCTAATAATATAAAGATTGGATATTATCAACCTCAGAATCCCAACATGTTTAGCTACACATGGTATCATATCCTTTGGTAAATATGAATAGTGCTCCACTAAAAATATGAGCCCTAGAAATGCCACAAGGGTAGAAATAAATCTCCCTTCCATGAAAATAGTTAGCTCAGTCCAAAGATGATTGCACTAGTCACTTTCTCTTGTCTGGTAAACAGTATTATTAACCCACTGTATGAAGACATCAAAAAGATGACACAATGAGATCTAACACAATCCTTTAGAATTTTCCAAATGCTTAAGTGCTTTTTAAAAGTGTGGGGGTGAGGAGGGAGAAGAGAGGAATTTCAGGTTTCTTTTGCTTCTCAAATTTCATTTTAAAAGGAGAACATTTCTATCTCAAGTCTCCACTAAAGCAAATTTGAGGCCTTCATATATGCTTTTGTGTCACTTTAAAACAAACTGAAAAATATAAGACCCATGTCTTATCATTTATCCCTTCGTGCAGTTATTGCCCAATAGCATGTTTGGCTCTGGAATGTCACAAATAATCCATCTCTTCCTTGATAAGATAGAAATCTTATGCCTCTGTGTAGTAACTCAAAGATGTTCTTATCAGTGAGCAATACGTAAAGCCCTGCCTCTGTGTAATTTTCCATGAAGTCCTTTCCCACTGAAGGACTTTAGGTCAACTCACATTAGTCTCCACTTGCTCTGACATTATCCTATATAATAAAATCCCAATATGCAAATTGTCCCCTCGACCTGGAGTTCGACCAGGGGGTGGGGCCAGCGGTGGCAGGCAGCAGCAGGAGGCCATGGGAAGGGAGATGCCCCCAATCGGCAGCCGGCAGCCTCTAGAGAACCTACCCATGCACAAATTTTGTGCACTGGACCTCTAGTAGATTATAATCAACCAGAGCCTCCACCTAATTTTTTGAGTCTTTTTCTTTTCCTGAAGAAATAGTCTAAGACACTCACTGTAATAGGATATGAAGCTGCATATGAGGTCAGCTAAACTGTGCTATCTGTATGGGAGCTGGGAAAGCTGCTATCACAGGTCCCAGAAGGTGGCTATCTCCTCTAACCCAGAGTATATGTTTTAACAACATTTTGCAAGAAATCAGCAGCCTGATCTGGGAGGTGTAAGAAGCAAATACAAAGACCTTGATTTCTAATCTTTTTTTGTCTGCTTCCATGAACAAATCTATTCAAAACAAAAACAACAACAACAAAAAACTTTTCTTCCATACCCCAAGTTTGTGGTTTTTAAAATCCAAACACCCATAAAAGTTACTTGGTTATTTCATGCTAGCCCTATTCATTTGTCATCAACAAATTGTCAACCTCTAAAATATTAGCTATATATAGCAGTGTGCTGGTAAACAGGCTCTCCAGGGAAAAGAAGAAAAAAAAAACAGGTTTGTAGGGTTTGCCAATTTCCACGGTATAAATAGTCTCGCCACACCTAATTTCAAGTTACCAATGCAAAGGCAACCTACTTACAAAATTCCTGAAAATGTAACAAGCAGTTCTTTTATGAGCCAGTCTGAGTTGGCTCCAGCACATTCCTGGATATAAATTATTTTTTTTAACATCTGAAGAATTTAGTGCACCTTAATTTATAAATGCTGCAAACAATCTGATGATCCTATCCTTTATTAAAAATTTCATTAAGTGGTATAATATCCCCAGATAATTTAATGCCAGGATTAGCCATAGTTCTTCCAAACTCATAATTTTAAGAAAATAAATTGGAAGGTTCACCTCTATTTGCTTATTGCAGAGAAAGTTTCTGAGGAGACACAAAGAATATTTGACAGAAATTGTCTTTTTACACAAACTGAGGTAAAAGTGGGCAATTCCAGGGTGAGTATAAGGAAATATGCACCCACTTCTCTAACCAGGGAGCCAGCATTATTCACTATTAATAAACAGAGACTCTTTAGTTTTCTCAACATTAATAAAAGGATATCTGACATTGTGGTTATCATATCATTGGCTACCAATATCTACATAGCACTAGTTTTATTTCAAAGAGTGAAAAGGCTATTTCAGATGGGATGTTTGGGAAGTCTTCTTTGAGCTGAGGACTGCTTAACAGTAGAATCCAACCATGCAAAGATCGTGGAGAAGAGCATTGTAGGTAAAAGACAAAGACAAAGGTTCAGAGGTTGGAACACACTTGATCTGCTCAAGGAAATTAGACCTGTATGGCTGAAGCATAGAGTGAGCAAGGAGGAAAAGGATACGAGAGTGAGACGAAAAGGTAGTCAAGAGCCAGGCCTCATAAGACCTTGAAGGCTGTGATAAAGACTTTTATTTTATTCTAAAGCCTTGGGAAT